CTCCTCCTCCACCCCCACTTCCCCCCCTCTCCCACCCCACCCACATCCCCTTTCCGACACCCTTTCTCTTGTTCTCATTCCTACTTCTTCCGTGGTTTAAGTGAAATTATGGTGGAACACTACTAAATACCCTGGCAACTAAATCAAGTGCCTTATAGTTACAAAAACAAACGTTTATTTAAAGACTTTGGCAAAAATTTAGTGTGTTAGTTTTTGTCTCAAACCATCTAAAGGTACCTCTTTTCCATAAAACATATGTGTGCTTCTCCTATTAGATGCATTGAAAAACATGCAAACATAAAGTAAAAACCAAACACAAGTTTATTACTCATACAAGTTAAAGTTAAATAAAACTAATGATTTTAACTTATTAAACATTTTTAATCTGAAACATATTTTATTAATATATATATATATATATATATATATATATATATATATATATATTATAACAACCGTTAAATATCGTACTTGTAGCTGCAATCATAACCATTGTTTACAAATATTCAAATGTTCTTTTCCTCATTTCTACTCTTTTTGTCATTTAAGAAGGGATGCTAGAAATGGGGAAAGGGGGAGGTTGGGGTTGAGGAGGAATTAGAGAAAGGAGTGAGAATGGAAGTTAGAGTTGGGGTAAGGAAGGTAGAGGTTTGGAGTGGAGATAGGGGAGGAGTTGGAGGAAGGGATGAGAGTAGAGGTTGGGGTGGATTGGAAGTGGGTTGCCGGTATTGAGGGAGAAAAGTTTGGTGAGGAAGAAGAAACATTTTTTGTAAATATATAAAACATGTTTAAGGATTCTTTTTGTAAATATTTATTTTAATCAATAAAAAAATTTAAATGACATGGCATATAACGTGGTGTCACATAATGTGGTGTCACATGGAGTGCTGTTAGCCAGCTCAACACTTAACAAAGAAAGGGTTAACGGTAAGGACCAATTTCTAAATTACCAAATTTAAAAGGATCACTTCCTAACAAAAATATTTGTAGGAACTAATCATAAAAAGACCTATATTTATAGTAACCAAAAACATAATTAAGCCATAAATTTATAATATGTTATGCTTAATTAATTGGGTAATTATCTTAATAACCAAGTAAGAAGCATTTTTCTCTTTTTTTAATAATATACTAATTGATAAATTTAAGTTGAAGTTATTTTTATTAATACAACGATTTATAATGCTAATGTGTAGCGATTCTACCTTTATGCATTATAAATTGTCAAAACTTAAGTGTATCAATGTTACCTTAGGTTTTATACACCATCAATATATTAAAACAATTTTATCTGATTTCTAAAACTAATCAATTTTATTGTTTTATTTAATTAAAATCTATCATTTATAATATTTTCATCATATTAATGTAATAATTTAAAGTGTTATTGTATAGCGTCTCTACCTTTATACGCTTTAAATCGTTAAGACTTATATGTATCAATATTACCTTAGGTCTTATGCAATATAAATTTATTAAACGAAGTTTTAATCTTTTTAATCAATTAAATATATTTATTCCTTTCATTAAATAAAAATAATTTTATTTTATTTTTAATTTTCTTAAGTCATATTTCTAATTTTGATAAATTAAATAACAAAATATTTTATTACGTAATTTTATTATAAATTTTTTTAATATTGATGTGTAATTTACATTGTTTTCGATTATCCAATAAATCATAAGATTTATGTATAGCTTATCTTATCTTAAATTCTCTTTTAATATGAATCGTCAAATTTAAATAAATTCAGACTTTTATTTATTTATTTGTAAATATTTTTATTCTATTTTAACGATTTGCAATGTAGTTGTATGATCTCTCTTGGTCTTCTATATTGTTTATTGTAGGATACATGTATAACTGCATTATCTTGTATCTTAAATATTATAATATTATGAAAAATTATTTTAAATCTCAAAATAAACTTTCTTTTACTAAACTTAATTATTATAAACCAACTTCAAAATTTGTAAGACAAAACTACATGGCTTTGAGTTTCTCATTGTACCTAAGGATACGTAGGAGCACAAATCATACCGTCAAGTCAAAATAATTTTTAAAATAATTTTCTTTCTTTCTTTTAAGATACCGAGTTAACATTTCAATAAATAATTTTTTCTTCTAAAATATAAATAATTAATGTTTAGGAGTTAAATAAATATTTTTTAAAATTAAAATAAATTTGCACAATTAATTTAAGGTAACCGTTATGACTCTAGACTTCATTTTTTGTTTAAAAAATTATATTATTTTATATATTTTTTCAAGATTTTCTTAAAATAAACTTTGGTAGCAACTCATTTATTTTTCAGAAAAATATTTTTATTCTTAAAAAGTGTTTTTCTTAAACATGTATTTGCCGTACCATCCCGACCACCTAGTTACAACATATATAAATTAATAAATAAATTTGAAAAATTCATATTTATACTTTTTTGTTATTATTATTATACTTGTAGTTGCTATTAAAAAATGTATATTTTTATATTTTAAAAATAATTTTTATAATATAGGAGCATACATATTATTAGAATAGTCATAGTTAAATAATAAAATTGAGAAAAGTATATACTTTTAATTTTCTTTAAACTTATTTATATTAAAATTGATGAATATATATAAAATTAATACATTAATATTAAAAAAAAAAGCATGTGTATTACATTGAGTCTAAATTATAGTTATATTTATATTTTATTTTTATTATGAAAATTATTTATTAATAAAATATTAATGGTTAATTTTAAATTTTATATAAAAATAAATAAATAAATCTATTATCAAAAATAGTAAAATCAAATATAGATTTTAAATCTCAAAATTTTAAAAATAAAAACTATTTTCAAAAAATAAAAAATGAAATGTTTCTGAAACAAGTAGACCCTAATATAGCCTAAAATGATCAAAGATAAAAAAATAAAAAAATAAAAAAAACAATCCTATAAAATAATTTAAGATACTTTAAAACATTTAAAAATATAATTAAGACAACTGTGAAATTTATTACATTGTTTTTAACAATGACGAATATCTCTTAAAAATACTTAAATTTTGTATAGAAAATCCCACAAAATCAGATAAAGAAGGAAAATGTTTTGCAGCTTAAATGGAAGGAGTTGGAAGTCAACCTGAGAAGTTATCGTCACTTTTATGTGGTTAAGGCATCGTCCACTCATGGCAGGTATTAACTGCTACATCGCATGGGCAAAGTGCAGGGCATTCATTATATACGAACAACTCAGATTTTTTTCAATTTAATTTAATAAAAAATTAGATTCTATGTCGTGTGCAATGCATGGATTTCTAAATATATAATATTATTTTTATTATTTCTTACGTATAATTTATCAATATAATATATTTAAATTAATATATATTTACAAAAAATTATCATAATTTATTTAAAATAGTAAATTTTATTCACTTAATATTAATTTAATATTTAATTATTTATGATATTAAAATTTAATTTATGAATCTTATTTATACGTATTATATTTTTTCATTTTATAAATCTTATTTATAAACATTAATTAACAAAAAGCAATACGTTTACCTATTTTCTCAAATTTATATTAGTGTTATAATTTCTTATTAATGTATAGCGAAAGAAAATTATTAAATCTAATCCTCAAATTGTCATTATGTTAAGTTATTTGTGAAAATTTGAGCGAAATTTTTATTTACAGATGAGTAAATAAATCATTATTGACCCATTACTGTTATTTTGTTATTTTTTAAAAATATTTTATCATTTAAAAATTAATATTTATAAAAAAATTAAAATATTATTTTAAAATTTTAATAGTTAATTTTTTTATTTTCTAATTTAAAAATAATGATGAGTTGGACTGTAGCTCATCACTCAACAGAAGATAATTGAAAGTAAAAATTAATTTTAAATATTTTAAAAATTAAAATAAATTTTTAATAAAACTTTTTTAAAAACTAATTTTAAAAGATGTTATTTTTATATGAACTAAAAATATAATTAAGTAGTCAATTTTATCTCAATTAGTTTTACTAATGGAAGGGTCTTGTTTTATAAAATAAAGGGAATGAAAACTATTTGTTTTCTTAAAAAGCAAATTGGTCTTAGACTAATGGGGAAATCAGAGTTGGCCTCAGAAAAGGAAGAGGAAATGGAGCACAACAAAATGCAATCAAACTAAAATAAGCAAAAGTATCAAAATAAGTTAATAATTAATATATTTAAAATTAAATTTTTATTTCTTATAATTAAAAAACAATATTAATGGGTTTTTAATTATAATAAGATAAAAAAAATAGTAGATTTTAACTGTAGACTAAGATGCATTTTTTATGTATAAGAAAGTTTAAATTTATTTTTATCTTTATATTTTTTTTGTAAGATTTTGATTTTAGTCGGTGTAATTTATTTTTGTTTTATTTTCGTCTTTAAATTCTTCAATATTAGTCACTATTGAGAAGGTGAATCAACAAAAATTTGACACATAATTTTTAGCTAGTTAGATCGTCATCAGAAACAAAAAGTGTTGAATTTTAAAAAATTAGAAATTAAAATCAAACAATCAAATTTATAACAGTCAAATTTCACAAAAATATAAAAATTTAAAATAAAAACAAAAAAAAAGGCAATGTTAACAAAACATAATAATTAAGTAATTTCTACATTATCTAATAAATTAAAAAGACATTATGTGGAACAATTATAATCACTGATAATTTTTATATTAATTATACATAAAATTAATAATAAGAGTAAGTGATCTATTTTAAAAAATATATATCTTTTAATTTTTAAAATATTAAAAAATTATAAATTTCAATCTAAAAAAAGAACCGTAATAAGCACTTAATAATTAAACCTTCTTTCATAATTTTAATGTTAAATAAAAATTTGTGATTTTCAATTTAAAAATGTTTGGAGGATGGATAGATAAACAATAAATTATAGTGTAATTTGGTGTTTAAATAGGGAGCATTCCCCATAGTTATGGACATCGAAGCAGGGATGAGAGTTTCAAGATCCTCCCTCCTTTGCCTCTTATCTCTGCTAACCCTTTTGGCCGGTGGCATTGAAAGTGCATCGGGAAGCGTGCAGCCAAGCCACTACGCTACACCATTCAATAGGAGTCTTTTTCCTTCTGGTTTTGTGTTTGGAATAGGCTCTTCTGCTTACCAGGTTCTAATAATCATCCTCCACAATCATACTATACAAATTATGGACTTGGGAACAATTTTTACTTTCAATTTTATGCTTGGCACATAGTAAGCACATTGATATGCATCTCCTATTTCCGTTGTTTTGTTAATTACACAGGCCGAAGGAGCAGCAAATGTAGATGGCAGGGGACCAAGCATATGGGACACTTTCACTAAACAACGTCCTGGTAACTCTCTGAGTGTCACTCTTTCACTTTTCATTGGAAAAGAATGTAGAATAATATGTCATTGTACTTTGTGGACTGAGCAGACAAGATTTGGGATCATAGCAATGGTAATGTAGCAGCTGATTTTTATCATCGCTACAAGGTGGTTACAAATTTTACCAATTTTAATCTTAGTTCTTTATGGAAAATAAATAATATATATTGAATAAGTAAATTAAACTCCCAATAATACAATTTTGCAGAGTGACATAAAGGTGGTGAAAGAAATTGGGCTAGATTCATTCAGATTCTCCATCTCATGGTCAAGGATATTCCCTAGTAAGATGATCCTATGTTGATGTACAAGTCTTAAGCACGTTACCTTATGGGGCAAATCGTTTCTAAATATTCAATAATTTGCTGCAGAGGGCAAGGGAGAAGTCAATACCTTAGGTGTTCAATTCTACAACAATCTCATTAATGAGATCCTATCAAATGGTGAAATCTCCTGACTTTATAAAATTATATTCACAAGTAATTGTGTATCATGAAACCATGTTATCCTAATTACGATTAAACTATAAAATTAAGTTTACATATTTGTATTAATATTATGATCTAGTTTTTTTAGTCTTTTTTTGTTTTCTTGATTTTATGATAATTTTTATGTATTTATTGTTTAAAAATATACTTAATATATGATTTATTTTTAAAATAATGAGATTGTACAGCAAAAAGATAAGAGTGAATTAATGGATAAGAATGGACAGCCAGATTTGGTAGAGCAAAAATGATCTCCTCTCCTTGGGATATGTCAACGGAACCAAACTAATAATATATTACTCATATACTATCTATTAAAATTATGGAGTATGTAACGAATCATGGATATCTATATATATTTAAGAATTTTAAAAATAAAAACTAAAATATCATATGATATAATATTATGTAATATCACTATAGGTTAACATATAGAAAATTATATTTATGTATAGACATTTTTTACATCTTTATTTTCTCCCATTGATATCCATAATATTTTGGCCTTTTTTGTTTTATAAATATAATTAAAATCAATTCTTATATCCTTTTTTACAAACACTTTATTTTATACTTTTAAAGAAAAAAATATTTATTTTAATAATAATATATGAATCAGATAAATTTATATACATTTAACACTTTGGCTAATTTTGGGACAGGTTTGATACCTTTTGCCACCCTCTTTCACTGGGACCTCCCACAAGCTCTTGAAGATGAATATGGAGGATTTCTTAGTCCTAAAATAGTGTAACACTCAATTGCCAAATTAAACATAAATTATTTCCTAAGAAAAAATATTGATTTATATTTTGATGGATAAATAGAGGGGATTTTGGTGACTATGCTGAGTTCTGCTTCAAGACCTTCGGTGACCGAGTGAAGCATTGGGTCACTCTAAATGAACCCTATTCCTTTAGCATCAATGGCTACCATAGTGGCACATTTGCACCAGGTCGATGTTCTAACTACGTTGGAAATTGCACTGCCGGTGACTCAGCCACTGAACCTTACATTGTTGCCCACCACTTAATACTTGCTCATGGAGCAGCAGCAACGTTGTACAAGAAGAAATACCAGGTTGGCTTCAAAAACATAATCACCAAATGAATAGTATTTTGGATCGAAATTTGAGGAAATTTATTGTTTTCCGTTAGGCTCATCAAAAAGGACAACTTGGAATCACCTTAGTGACTCACTTCTTCGAACCAAAATCTAATAATGTTGCTGATCGCGAGGCTGCAAGTCGAGCTTTAGACTTTTTTTTCGGATGGTAAGTATTTCTCATCATATTTGCTAAGTTTTCAAAGTATAAATTTTATTTTAAAAACTCAGTATAATATATTTGAGAGGAAGTTTAAAAGGTTTTATTTGTTCTCGATTCAGCATTGTAGGTTAAGTAAGTATTAATAATATAATTATGCACATATTGGGTAGTAAGTAAATAATTCAACTCATTATGGATCACTCTAATAAAAAATCAATAATAAATATCCATTAGTATCATAATATTAATGTTTGTGATCTATATTATTTATTAATTCAAAGCTATTTTAATCATTAAATGATGTTAATTTAAAAAATAATTAAGAAAACTTAATAATATTATTATAAAGTGAAAAAGTACAAGGGAATTGAACTTGGACCAGGTTGCTTATCTAAGAAATTTTATTTATACAAATTTGGTTGAACAAATTGACTTTTGCAGGTTTGCTCATCCCATTACATACGGTGACTATCCTCAGAGTATGAGATCTTTAGTGGGTTATAGACTCCCCAAGTTCACAAAAGCTCAATCTGAAAATCTCAAAGGTTCCTATGATTTTCTTGGTGTGAATTACTACACCACATATTTCGCAGAAAATGCTGCTCCAACAAGCACCAACAAGACCTATCAAACAGATATGCAAGCCACTCTTAGTCGTAAGTAGTACATTTGAGGGGGAAAATCAAGTAAAATCAGCCATAATTAACCCACTAATTTTGGCAATAACATCACACTTAACCAATTTTCTCTTGATTGCAGCGGTGAGGAATGGCCTAGCAATTGGCACACCGGTATAATATTTTTTACATGGATCCTTTTGTGCTTCAATTTTTTCACACCACATAAATGGTATTTTCTATATATATTAATAAAATTGCAAACCAAATGTTAGCTAAGTAAATCATGCAATAGATATGAAATAGCGTTTAATTTTCAATTCTGAATGCAGTCACGGTTGTGTCATAACCCTTGATAATACCAAAGTTAGTATTATTTCAATAATACATATGATAGAAGTTAGTATTAAAAATGATTACACATTACTGAATTTTGAACAACAATATCAAAAGTCCGAATAGTACTTTATCTAAACTTTGTCATTTTAAAAACCATAAAAATTTTAATGTTGCACACCATAATTTATAAGCAGATAACATGGTTGCCTTTCTACTAAATCTAATGAATCAAAATCTTTTGTTGTGTAGACTGCTCTGAACTGGCTCTTTGTCTATCCAAAGGGAATTCATCAGCTTATGACATACGTAAAGGATAACTTCAACAATCCACCAATGTACATAACAGAAAATGGTACATACATTATATTTTTATTTTGTTAATTAGTCAATAGAGAGGCAATATTTATATGAAAATAATCATTACATGAAATGTCTCACTCTATTTGTTTTTTAACTAGAAGTCACTCTCCATAGCTCCTCTTAATTATGCAATGAAGTGATCTGATTCTGAAGCACTTTTGAAGTCAATCAAACTAACCACAGCGCAATTGATTGTGTCATTTAGAAATTAATGTTTTTTTGTTGTCAATTTCTTTTTTCAGGCATTGCTGAAGCAAGGAATGACTCAATTTCAATCAATGAAGCCCGCAAGGACAGTATAAGGATTAAGTACCATGATGGCCATCTCAAATCCCTTCTTGAAGCGATCAAGTAAGATAAGAGTCAAAGGATTTCTCTCTAGTTTATTACTAGAAAATTTAAATTTTATTCTTGAGAACAAACATTGTTCATAACAAATTGTTGAATTATATTATGACCTTTTGATTTTTCTTTTCCTTGCAGAGATGGTGTTAACTTGAAGGGTTACTATGCATGGTCATTTTCCGATAGCTTTGAATGGGATGCTGGTTACACAGTTCGATTTGGTCTAATATATGTGGATTACAAGGACAATTTGAGAAGATATCCCAAGTACTCTGCTTTTTGGCTCCAAAAGTTCCTCCTCAAGTGAACTAAAGTTTATTTATTCCTTTGGCATGCCTAGGATTTTTCTTCATGTTTGTTCACTAGCTATTATGGTACATTACTTGCTTTGGATGTAACCAAGAAATCGTTGATATAAAATAAAGAATGCCCAATGGCATGCCGAAGTAATTAAATCAATATATCTAAATAAAATATACTTTTTGAATAATATTTAATTTTATATATAACATATATAGACACATCACACACACATTTTAAACAATGTGTGTGTATCTCTATAGTAAGATAAAAATTGATAATATATTTTACTCTTTTAATTTTTTTATTTTATTTTGGCTTTTTTTGTTTGTTTAAATTTGACTCATTTCGTCAATTTTGACAACTTTTAATAGTTAAAAATTGCGACCTTTTATTAATATAAATTTTTTATCATTACTAAAATCAATAACTTGACAAAAGAAATTTAAGTGTTCACAATTATAATATTATTTTTAATAAAAATTGTGAGCCCTCTTCCTCCCATTTTGGGGGAATTTTTTCTTTATTTGTATGGGCTCCACCCAAAAAAATCCCTCTCCCCCTCTTGTCTCTCCTTGTCCAAACCTAAAATTCCTATTTTTGTTCCTTCAATATATTCACTTATTAATTTTTAAATATATATATATAATTTTAAAAATAATTTTTCAAAGCACTTTTTACACGAAAAAAGAGATCATAAGTCTTTCAAAGAATTTCATAAAAGAAAAAAAAATGCAACTGTGAACAGTACAATTCTAATGTTCCTCAAAACAGTTCATAACATCAAGAGTAAATAAACAACTTAAATAGGGAAGACTTCCACAAAATAGTAGCTTTAACATGGCAAGTTATCTTGTTCTATCTAAAATATGTGGGTTATATTTATCCCTCATCAAACAACTGATATTTTGTACCATTCAAATGTTTTTCTTATGCTTCATCCAACTTCATCAATCAAGCAGCGGAAAGAGAAAGAAGAAAATGTTAATAATAACGACCGAAATAATAATAAATAGAGTTGAAATTAATAAAGAAAAAGACTTATTTAATTAACGTTTAAAAGTCAAAGAATAAAAATAAATAAAAATATGTTAAAAGACTAAATTAAAATAAAAAAAATTAAAAGATGAAAGCATTTCTTGTACTTTTATCTTTAAAATTTGCCATAAAAAAATACTTAAAACAACTTTTTTACAGCAACGATTTGAAAACAAGGTCGAACTAAGATATTGGAATGAGAGGGGAGAAGTAGTTGGTTCAAATCATGACCCAACAAAAACAAGTGAAAACTGGGCCACACATAGTTCATTTTGTTTCATCAAAACTCAACCCAAACGGTGCTTTGACTCAATAATCTGCTCCACACCCATTTGTTGATGCATTGCTCAAATGCTTGGTAGAGAATAGTGATCGTGTCTATTCATATAGGTGCCACACAACAACTTAAACATGGAAACAATAAAGAAAAGCCCTTCTACGTTAATGGGCTCATAGAAATTTATATGTAGCTGGAATAAAAATTGTTCATGGACATGTTTTCTCCTACAATTTGAATAGATAAAAAAATAATAATATTAGGTTTTGTTATTGGGATCGAATTGTAAAACCCAAACTTTCTGTTTATTTGGATGATACTAAAAAAAAAAAAGTATTTGGACGATGTAGTCTTTTATTAACCATATGTTCATTATCAATATCAATAATTATTAAATTTTATTTTTTAATGTATATAAATTTAAAAATACATTTATGATTATCTAATCATCGTTATTAGACCAATAAACAGTGGACAAATTCAGTTTAATGATAAATCTTATTTTAAAAATATTGTCGTTTAAACTAATTGCAATTAACAAATAAATATGTCAAAATGATCCATTGGATCCGTGATGGCCTGTTTGAATCCTAATAGACTTCTTTTATGACTAAAAGGACTTCTAGGTATGCTTTTATGACTAAAATTATGTTTGGATATATTTATTAAAAAGTAACTTAAAAGATTACTTTTATATGGAAAATTGACAAAAATAAAATTAGAGTAGAAAGTTCTTTTCACAATAATAATAATAATAATAATAATAACAACAACTTGGTGGATAGATTTGGAGGGGTGAAATAAAAAAAATTGCGTTTGGTTTTAAAATAATTTAAGAACTATTTTTAAACTTGAAATTCTTAGCTTCTCAAAATCCTTTTATTATAAAAAAAACAAATTTTTTATAATTTAATCAATTCTTCTAAAATATATCAAATTATATTTAAACTATTTTTTTTTAAAAAAAATCTTGTTATTCTAAAACTACTATGAAGCGATACAAAATTTCTCAAGAAAATATTAAATTATCAAAAATTTAAATACATATTTGGTTGAATTATCTCTAAAAAATAAATCTTTTCTTTATATGTTGAAAAATAAGTAATTATTTTTTAAATAAATTAAAATAAATATATACAGATGGAATTTTTCTATTGTGCTGACGTTGTGATTTTTTTAACAATTAAGAAAAAAATTTAAAACTGAGTTGATAATCTTAAATTTATAAAAAAAAATATTACTTTCCAAAATCACCTTGTGTTTTAAATGTCTTTTTAAGGACACATGTTTAAATGTAATTAATTTGATGTTTAGAAAGAGAGTCAATTAGTGAATCACTTTGTTTGAGCAATAATAGAGAGTGATTAAAAATTCTTTGTGAGAAAAATGGATTAGACTTCCTTTACCTTGACAAATTTGAGTTGCTTTTAGCTTATGGTTTTAGTCATACTTGTATGCTAAGTACATGGACTAAAAAGAGAAAGGGACATGGATACATGCACTCAAGAGAATGTATTTACATGAATTAGTGAAAGGAAAAGATGAGTTTTACTCTAATTGAATTGACTTGAGCACTCTTTGAAATTTGTCACTCACCATTTGATCATTTATATCTTCTCCAGGTTAAGATAATATAAGACTCCAAAAATATAAACTCATTGAAAAACCTTTCAAGTTAAATGGTGTCTTGACTTTTCACTTAATTAGGATATTTTTCTAGATTTTGCCTAAGCATCATTCTCTTGCATAGGTGCACTAATGAAACTCTACTTTTTATGTAACTTTAAGTTATTTTACATGCATCACACCAAAAAATACTTTAGATCAATTTTATATAATCTTGAAGAGTAGTTTAAATCACTTTAAAAAGCGATGTTATACAAAGTTTGATGCATGAACCGTTCTCCAAGTATTCTTAGCTACAAATGACTATTGTTTTAAATCAAATCACTATCAGTTCAACTTCTAAATCACAATGCCAAATGCAAGCCCTTGTCACCACTGCATATACCAACAACCTGAACGTGGCATCATTACAACCCAATAGCAAACTATTGTAAACCTATGTTTTACCATCACATCTCACCTGCATCCACTATTGCACTACTATTGCATCACTTCTCATCGTCACACATCCTTTCCTCACACCACCAACAACAATACCATAATGATCCATCACCATTCACCATTTTTATTATTACATCACTTCTCACAAACTTAACCACCACCATGTCCAAATTTGTTGCAAGTTCTTCACCACCATGCTTGATACAAAATTTATAGTTATTACCAACCTTTCATCATGCCAAACGCTAGTACCATGCAACCATGGACATTGCTCTCTTGATTATGAGTATAGCGGTGTCTCACCCTTATGTGTGTTATTTCTAATTTAGAAAGTTTTAGGGTAAATTTTAAATTTTTTTTTTTTGTAAAAGTGGTTGGTACTTATCGCTCCCTATACATAGAATCACTTTGCAAATAAATATTAGAAAGCAATTGTATTGTAATTGTATTGTAATTACTATCTAAAGTCACTTTAGAAAGTAATTATATGCATAACCACTCTTCAAGTAAAAGATTAAATAACAATTATGTTATTCTACTCCTGTTTTGAAAGATCTAAAATGACAGAGTGATAGGCGAACAAAACTTGATTGTAATTTTAATTAAAGTTAAATTTTTATTTGCATAATATGCATAATAATAAGTGAGCATTAAAGGTCAATAAATCTTATAGAATTAAAACTCTAACTTTGATTGAAAAACTATAGTATTGTACATAAATTTTATCCTTTCATGTAACCTTTATTTATAGGTCCATTAACTCAAGTAATTTTTCTTTTTAGTATGTCTTTTAATATTTCATCAATTTTTCTCTTCAATTATTTCTTTCATCTTTCATTTCACTACTATTGAAAATTGTAAAGTAATTAAGCATAATTTATTAAAGATTAAGAGTAAATATAACAAAATTATGTAATGTTTTATAAATTTCTAAAGTAACTTATGTAAAAAAAATTAATAAAACTTTCAAAATGTAACTTATAGAAAGAAAGAGAGGGTATATATTTGTATCATAAGTTTGTTAATATTCAATGCAGAATTGGAATCTTGTTCAAAAAGAAAGAGAGGGAATATATTCCAAAAATGTAACTCATGTTCAAAATGCTGCAGTTCCAATAATTTACAATGTTGAAGCTCGCTCCAAAAAGTAATTCCTCTTTACACTTAAACATGCCTTACGAGCAAAACAAGATTAATTGCCTGTATGAGTGAACATCGAAAGAGGATTCAATAAATGCACATGGAAGAGGGACAATCCTCACATGTTACAAACATGGTCCTTCATGCCTGTGCTTCCTGAATTCAAAGCAATCCCACTTAGCTTTCTTATGATGTATCCTAACTCATCTCCTTATCCTCTTTGCCAAAGCTATTTATCCATCATTTTCCCCCAAATGAGTAGTTTAATAGCCTCAAATGGGCCACCCTTTGGAGAACCGCACTTTGTTTATTTTGTTTGACCTCATAAAAGCATCAAAGAACATTCAATTACTTGCAATTGAGCCCATAACATGGATATAAAGTTCCTCAAATTCACATGGGTGCTATAGTAATTTCATATGGAGTGGGCTTATCCTGTTCATGAAAAGTGCTAACCAGTGACCCACTTTGTTTGTTTCTCTAGT